TTCTCCTCCATTCTCCTCTCGGGATCTTGGGCACGCACATACACGCGCCCGGGTCCAGGACGCGAACCGCGGTCGACTACATGGGAGTCCAGCAACATAGCCATTACGCTAACTGCTGGTCCCCTGGGCAGAAGGTCTTAAATGATCCTAATCCCTGAAAGGGGCTGCTGAGAACTCAGATGTAGATGGCTGGTGACTGACTTGTTCTGGATAGATCTGAGGGCAGGAGTGTGAACTCTGGGCAGAAGGTCTTCAGTGGTCCTAATCCTCTTGACCAAACACTTTAGAGTATCCCCCCTAGCTTCCTCACGTAGGAGAGTCCTAGTTGCTAGTTTATTTTTTTAAGTGATTTTTTTGTTTTGCTTTGTTTTGTGGAGTGAGATGGAGTGGATGGAGGAGGAAGGATTATCCTTAGAAAATTAACCCATGGGCCCCAATTTTATTGTTTTTATTTGAACTAAAATGGGCAGAAATGAAATATTTACCATGATGTACAACACTTTAATTTTTTTTTTTATCTTTTAAAAATTTTATTTTTTAACTTCATTTTCATTTCACCAGACAGACAGAGTGAGAAAGCATGCAGCCAAGGTTGGGACATAAACCGCGGTCAGCCATATGGGAGTCTAGGGACCTCAACCACTGCCCCCATCTATTGAGGTGTTTGATTTTAAACTAAGATGGTATCTGTCTAACCAAGCAGGCAGTTCCGAAGATTGCTGCTTCAGCATTGCCTGTGACAGGGGTTCGTCCTGGAAATGAACACTTGGCCTCTGGCAGAAATAAAGGTTAAGAGATAATGGCAGTTCCCCGCAAGGGAGAGCTGAAGGCCATACTGTTAGTCATGCAGTTGGACCCAGCTGGAGAGCCCCTGACAGTTCCTGCTAAGGAACACAGGGCTTTGTCTCAGGCACTGGCTCCTGCCTGGCCCTCCCCGCCCTTCCCCTCCAGAACACATGCTAGTATTGGGGTTGATACCCAAAGCCAAGGCCTCAGCAGTACTAACCTCCCTTCTCCAGTCAAGCCACAAGGACATGTGTCCCCATTACCCAAGGAGGCCATGGAAACCCAAACCCTTTCAACCTCAACATTTCACCTTTGCAAAGGATAATAAAATACTCAGGCCTGTCTGATTAGGGCCCTCATGCCCAAGGACCCCTCCTGGGAAGGCTGCAGGCCAGGCTAGTTTCCCACTGGCTCTCCTGTCCCATCCTGTCTCTACACAGCTGCCCCGGCTTCATGGAGTGCAAACCAAGATGGCTTCCATGTCTGTGCCTTCCCAACCTCCAGGGGATGGAGCGCCCCTCTCCTCCTGCCTCTGCATTCGGACAGGGGCTCACACAGACTAGTCACCTGCATGTGTTTGTAGGGCTTAGAGGTAGGGAAA